TACTACAATTATAGGATAATAAAACTCTAGATAAGTACTCACACTTGTACCATTAACTTTTTTTTTTTTTTTTGAGACTGAGCCTCGCTCTGTCGCCAGACTGGAGTACAGTGGCGCAATCTTAACTCACTGCAACCTCAGCCTCCTCAGTTCAAGGGATTCTTCTGACTCAGTCTCCCGAGTAGCTGGGACTACAGGCATGCACCACCAGGTAATTTTTGCATTTTTAGCAGAGATGGGGTTTCATCATGTTGGCCAGAATGGTCTCCAACTCGGGACCTCAGGTGATCAGCTCGCCTTGGCCTCCCAAAGTGCTGGGATTACAGGTGTGAGCCACCATGCCCAGTCATGAAATATTTTCAGTCATTTAGATTGGAATGTTAGGTAATATGCATCAGATTTCCTTACCTTAATAAATAGAGACTATTACACATAATGATCTATCTTATTGTTAGGGTCAAGCTGCCTCAGAAAACCCCCTCCAAGCAAGCTGACCCCACCCCCAATCTGACTGCTCTGCAGCTGCATTCCTGAACTCCTATCTAGGTGCTACAATTAAGCAAAGCTTGATTACAGCCAACTGGTCAGCTTTGGGGAGGACAGGGTAAACAAATGTTTGTTATCCATATTTGTGAATTCCCGTTTTACACATACCTGTAAAATCCTGTTTTTTTTAAAACCACTGCCACAGAACAAAAGTCACAGGATGATGTATTCTGTCTGTCACAAACTATCTCTGTGCCTATTACAAGCTGATAGATTAGATTATCTGAGGCCTGAAACTCCAGTAGGCCCCTCTCATCCCATATAAATCCCTGGTTTTATAAGCTCGGGGCTGTCTCCTCTGACTGTTAAGGGGCAGCCTGGCAGGTTAGTAAAACTTGCTTGTCTGACTTTCAGTCTATCCTTCTTTCTCTGGGGCAGACCAGCGGATTAATAAAACTTGCTTGCCTGACTTTGGGTTTATTCTTTTTTCTCTCAGCCAACCTTACACTTATAATCAAGCTGCACCCTACCACTCCCCTGCTTGTACTTCACATTCCAAACAGAATAATTTGTATTTCTGGGATATTATCCTTCTTTGCCATGCCTCTGTGTCCTTGTACAATTGTTTGTTTTCTTGAAATGCTCTTGTTTTTCAACTGCTAATGTCTGTAAGCCTGGTTTTGTTTTTTAGTTGCCCTGATGATTCTAACCAAATTGTTTTTCCTCAGTTTTCCTTCTTTCCCTATACTCAACACCCATTCTCCTTTCTGCTTGATTTTTCTAGTCAAACTCACACCAAACAGAGGCCACCTTTCTTTTGCTACATAGACAATTCAATCACTTTAGTTCATTCATGATAGTCATACTATTTAGGCTGCTGTTGTTGTTTTAAAGTCACTATTCATGCTTTCTTTTTTTGGGGGGACAGAATTTTGATTGTGCCCAGGCTGGACTGCAGTGGCAGCCCACTGCAGCCTTTATTTGGGGGCTCAGATGTTCCTCCTACCTCACCCTCCCGAGGAGCTGGGACTACAGGCAGGTGCCAACACTCCCAGCTAATTAAAATGTTTTGTTTTTTTTTTTGTAGAGATGGGGGTTTCATCATGTTGCTCAGGCTAGGCTCGAACACTTGTCCCTGTGCTCACACGATCCACCCACCTCAGCCTCGGCCTCCTAAAGTGCTCAAATTATAGGCTAGAGCTACCATGCCCGGCTTACTCTTGCTTTTTTTTTTTTTTTTTTAACATCCAAAGTTATAACTCACAATAAGCTGCTTTCTTCCTCATCCCTAAGGTTTTGAGATTTCTGGAGGAGTGAATGCTATTGAGATAGTCACCAGTATTTACTGAGAGCTTATAAATTCTGGGCACTCCAGCATTTTTGCATGCTGGACATATAAAAATGAGTAAATTGCCAAGCATGGTGGCATTTGCCTATAGTTCAGCTACTCCCGGAGGCTGAAGTGGGAGGATCACTTGACCTCTGACAGTAGAGGCTGCAGTGAGCTGTGATCACACCACTGCACTCTAGCCTGGACAACATAGAAAGACTCAAAAATAAAAAATAAAATAAATTTTGTAAAAATGAGAAGGGCAGACTCAGCCCTTGCCTTGGGCTTATAGTCTAGAAAAGACAACAGAGGCAGAGTGCTATGGCTCAAGGCTGGAATCACAGCACTTTGGGAGGATGAGGCCAGTGGATCACCTGAGGCCAGTAGTTCCAGATCAGCCTGATCAACATGGCGAAACCCTGTCTCTACTAAAAATACAAAAAGCAGACAGGTATTGTGCGGAGGCCTATAATCCAGGCTACTTGAGAGGCTGAGACAGAAGAATCGCTTGAATCCAGGAGGTGGTAGTCGCAGTGAGCAGAGATTGTACCACTGCACTCCAGCCTGGGCAACAAGCGAGACCGTCTTTAAAACAAAACAAAAAAAGACAGAAAATAATTAAAAATAATTATGATTGTGTCAAATGCAACAAAGAAGTATAGAATATTATTAGAATACTGCGTGATGAACATTTGGTAATTATTACTATCATTTTTTGAGACAGAGTCTTGCTCTGTCCCCCAGGCTGGAGTGCAGTGACAAGACCTCCACTCACTGCAACCTCTGCCTCCCAGGTTCAAGCGATTCTCCTGCCTCTGCCTCCTGAGCAGCTGGGATTACAGGTGCGCGCCACCACACCTGGATAACTTTTGTGTTTTTAGTAGAGACAGGGTTTCACCACTTTGGCCAGGCTGGTCTTGAACTCCTCCTAACTTCAGGTGATCCACCCACCTCGGCCTCCCAAAGTGCTGGGATTACAGGCGTGAGCCACCGCGCCCGGCCTTGATGTTTGTTTTTTTTTTGAGACGGAGTTTCGCTCTTGTTACCCAGGCTGGAGTGCAATGGCGCGATCTCGGCTCACCGAAACCTCCGCCTCCTGGGTTTAAGCAATTCTCCTGCCTCAGCCTCCTGAGTAGCTGGGACTACAGGCGCACGCCACCATGCCCAGCTAATTTTTGTATTTTTAGTAGAGACAAGGTTTCACCATGTTGACCAGGATGGTCTCGATATCTTGACCTCGTGATCCACCCGCCTCGGCCTCCCAAAGTGCTGGGATTATAGGCGTGAGCCACCGCGCCCGGCCGATAATTATTTTTAACTGAAATTTTATATAAGACTGCAGACTCTTGTCCTATTTTCAAAACTGCAGAAGCACTGCTAGCATCTTATTAAAATGAAATCACTTCTCGGTAGCAAGAACTGGACCGGGTTCACAACAGATGTCATACTTTAGACTGGGTACCCAAGCTCTTTACTTTGCAATCTTTAAAGGAGGAGAATCTATGTATTACAAATAAACATTTCCATAAACCAATCTTTGATCACAACAAGTCTGTAATACTTTCTGGATCACACCCACTTTCACAAAAATCCCAATTTTGGGTATGGCTTTATTTTCTAAAGCGATGTGGCGGGGGAGGCGGAGAATTAACAAAGACTTCCTCCTCCATGTCAAGCACGAAACGTGGTGCTTTGAAATCTACTATCTGACTTGCAGTGCAGAACGCAAGAGAAAGTTACGATTTATACGTATTATGAGCAACACATCATGAAATAGGTTTCTCCCGACCAAACTAAAAATAGTAACTCCGCCCACTCGTTCTCCGTCCCTTTAGCTTGCTTGCTTTTTGGCCAGGGCACTCAACCCTCACTAGTATTTTCATTATTCCATGGCCCTTTCCCTGTTCCCAGACTCCCAGGCCGTAAGCATATAAAGAGCCTTAGTCCCCGCGACCGCGACTGGCAGTGTTGGAGTCAATCCGCTGGAACGCCTGCCACGAGATGAAAGGAACAACGAAAAAAACTACTTCAGATCCCGGTGAGGGTCACTTCCAAGAAAGGCTCGGCAGTACCTGGTACTGCGACAGGGCGGGCTCTTCACCGCCGCCGTTGGGGCCCCGAAGGCGAACGACTAAGAAGGAGCTGTCTTCTCGGTCCCACAGGAAGAGCTCTCCGCCAAGGCCAAAGACCATGTTTCTTGTCAGCAACTGCGACGGCGGCGATGAAGGTAATGACGAAGAAGCTGGTTTCTCAGCTTCGGCTGGGCTCTGGTTTTTCAGTCCCTCCCGGAGCCGCAAAAACACTACATGGTTAGGAAGCCAGGTCTGCCACAGGTCGCCGTCGCCCACAGGGCCCTCAACGGCCGCCATCTTAGCCCAGCTGCTCCCCTCGCTCCAGTCGCTCAACCCGCTGATGAGCGCAGCCAGTCCGCGGCCGTCCAGTCACTGCTTCGGCCAATCACCGAGCAGCTGGCCCGGAAGCTCGAGAGGCTCGTGTCAGAGGAGGGGTGAAAGCGAGGCCAAGCCCATCAGGCAGCGGGGTCGCCAAGGGAAAGCCAATCACCAGCCCAGAATTATTTCTGAAGCCCAAGGGGGCGGGACGAGAAATCAACGGAATAGTGGTGTTGCTCGAGGTTTCGCACCTGGGGAGAGACAGACTTGTGTATCTAATTGCCTATTTGAAACCTCCATCTGGGTAAACCCAGGCATCCAGAAGTTTCCCTCAAGACTTGGGCCGGGCGCATTGGCTCACGCATGTAATCCCAGCACTTTGGGAGGCCACGGCGGGTGGATCACGAAGTCAGGAGTTCAAGACAAGCTTGGCTAAGACGGTGAAACCCCGTCTCTACTAAAAATACAAAAAATCAGCCGGGCATGGTGGCAGACGCCTGTGATCCCAGCCACTCAGGAGGCGGAGGCAGAGAACTGCCTGAACCCGAGAGGCGGGGGTTGCAGTGAGCCGAGAACGCGCCACTGTACTCCAGCCTGGGAGACAGAGCGAATCTTAAAAAAAAAAAAAGAAAAGAAAAAAGACTTACCTCCTCCACTGCAGGTTGGGCTAGCCTCACACGTTTCGCTTGGATACTTAAATGTGTATCCACGTGGAGCCGGCCTGTAAGACAACACTTCCCAGAATACCCTGCGATCCAATCGCGGTCGACGCCCAAAAGCTACAACTCCCAGGGGTCTGTGTGCCGCCAGGGGCGGGGCTTGCGCCGTTGTCACCCGAGAAGAGGCGATGGCGGAGTCGATGAGGTCTCCGCGCCGCTCCCTGTATAAACTGGTGGGCTCGCCGCCTTGGAAAGAGGCTTTTCGGCAGGTGGGTGTTTGGGCCGTGAACACTACCCCAGTCTGGCCCGGCTACCCCCGTCTTCTCTGCCTTTGCCTTAGTCCTGTCCTGTGGAGCAGGCGCCGGCGCGCCTGGCGGCTAATGGAAGCGGATCTCAAACCCAGGCCTCCTGACTGTGGAGTGTGGTATTAGCCTGGGTCAGCCCAGTGCTAGAAAGCCTTAGTTTCGGATTCAGTTTTGTTTTAAATTTGAGTGTGGTCATGACATCACCCTTTGCACCTCTGCAATAAGACTATCTACTGTTGCTGCGGAGGTGACCACGGAGAGAGGTGCTTTGTATACGTTCGTCTTGTGAGGTACAGATGATTTCTACTCTAGAGAGTAGTAAACTGAGGCTTAGAAGAACGCTCCACCTCAGTTCTGGCCTCTCCTGAACACAGTATGGTTGCTAGTAAGTAATATTATCCAAGCAAGTAAGCCAACACAAGAAAGATAGCAGATACAGCAGACTTTCGCAGCTTTGACAATGGACATTTTGAGGGAGATGTTTACTTGTTGTGGAGGGCTGTTTAAGCCACATCTCTAGCCTCTACCCACTAGATGCTAATAGGCCTACAACTAGAATTGTGACAACCAAAAATGTCTCCAAGCATTGCCAAATGTTCCTTGGGGGACAAAACCTCCCTGAGTTCAGAAACGCTGTTGTGCAGGAAGGCCGTTACCACGGCCACATCTAGAGTAGCAAGAATTTGGAAGGAATGTAAATGTTCTGTAATAGGACATTGGATGCTGAGATACTATGCACATGACCATTAAGGAAACTGGCACTGAAGATAAAATAAAAAATATGGTTATATGTAAATACATGTACAAAGCATTGTAATTGTATGTATCTCTACAGAGGAAAATGCAAAAATAACACTAGTTAATAGTATGGTTGACATTTTGTGTCTGTAAACTTTCTTTACTATTTTCCCAACTAATGTAAGAGTGTTTTTTAAAAGTAGAAATGCTTTTTTTTTTTTCTTCTCATCTTGCTCTTTTTCAAGAGATGCCTGGAGAGAATGAGAAACAGCCGGGACAGGGTCCTAAACAGGTACCGCCAGGCTGGAAGCAGTATGCCTGGGAAGGCTCAGAACACCTTTCTAGTGCAAGAGGTGATGGAAGAAGAGTGGAATGCTTTGCAGTCAGTGGAGAATTGTCCAGAAGACTTGGCTCAGGTCAGGCTGGGCTGTTTTCAGGGAGGGGGACTACACTACCAAGAACTGCTAGGGTCCTCTTTTTTACTTGTTTACTTGAGTCCTCTAAATCCACCACCCCCCTACCCCCATTTAGAATTTGACAGCCTTTAACCCAGGCTTTTCTTAATATTAGAAAACTACCCTTAATATTAGACTTGTCTAGATGAATTGTTATGAAATACCAGACTGTAGACCTGCTCATCACTGCAACATCATCATCTATGAAACTAAAAAGAAAGAAATTTCACTTCTTGCCTCTACCCTTGGGCATAGACAGGAATATCTTTCCTTTTCTTTTCTTTTTTTTTTTTTGTTTTTTGTTTTTTGTCTTGCTCTGTCGCCCAGGCTGGAGTGCCATGGCATGATCTTGGCTCACTACAACTTCTGCTTCTCTGATTCAAGCAATTCTCCTGCCTCAGCCTCCCAAGTAGCTGGGATTACAAATGTGTGTCAACATGCCTGGCTAATTTTTTTTCTATTTTTAGCAGGGAAGGGGTGTCACTGTGTTGGCCAGGCGGGTCACAAACAGCTGACCTGAAGTGATCTGCCCACCTCAGGACTCTCTTTCTAAAAAGGTCTCCAGAAACTTTCTGATTCTAATCTCAGCCAGCATTGAGAGCCATGTGTGGAAAGGAAACCATTTATAGTGTTTGAGGAAGAGCACTGGACTGGAAGTCAGGAGTTCCAGAATTCAAATCCTGGTTTGGCTATGACTCTTAACTTCAATCTGCCTCTTTGAGGTTTAGTTTTCACATTTATAAAATGGAGAAGATAATGTTGTCAGCATTGTAAAAGACTATGTAAGAAAATGTGGGCAACTATTTGAAATCATCAATGCACTGTGTAATAATGATGCATTATTCAGTGGCTTTTATGTGTTCTACAATACACCAATGTTTGCCATATTAGCACTGCAATTAGTACTCACAGTAACCCTTTCAGATAGATTTTATTCCCAATTTATAGAGGCCAAAACTGAGATTTGCAGAGACTAGAAACTTTTCCTGTGGTTATATGGCCTTGGAAGAATATGTACTTAACTTCTACCCTATATCATCTCTCCAAAATTGGGTACCATTATTTTGTCACTGGGTAGTTGGATCATTTGTTGATGACTTCTCAGCATGACAGCATTACCCCACTGTCAGCATATTCTGCAGGAGGACTGGACTGATTTTGTCCAGCAAATCTAGGTTCTTCAAGCCAGCTTCCAAGTATGAATCTCTGTGGGGCTTAGTTGGTTATTAATACTTCAACTTCTGATTCCTCCACTTTCTCTTCCAGTTGGAGGAGCTGATAGACATGGCTGTGCTGGAGGAAATCCAACAGGAGCTGATCGAGCAAGGTAACCCCTAAGAGTAGTCCTTCCTTACCTAAATTTAGCTACCAGAATGCTGTGACCTTTCCTCCAGTCAGGATTGGTTCATAAGTCCCCTTGTCTACTTCCATCAATCAAGTATCCAAAAGGCTTCTTTTGTACTCTGATGTCTTGGGTGTCTATCTTCCCAATAATAAGGGTCTCCAGGGTGCTAGGCTTTGTGCTATAAACTTCTCATTTAATGACACTTTTCTCCATGTGACTATCCAGGAATAACATAGTAGTATTAGAATAGAAGGTGGTGTTCTCATGCAGATCATACAGCTAGTAAGTGGAGGAGATGGGAAGCAAAATGAGTTGTGTGAATCCAGTTCTCATGTTTATTCTACCATCCTGCCTCTTTATTAATGGGTTAATAGTTTGCTGACAGTGGTGGCTTATGCCTGTAATCCCAGCACTTTGAGAGGCTGAGGCAGGAGTATTGCTTGAGGCCACTTCAAGACCACCATGAGCAATGTAACAAGACCCTGTCTCTACAAAAATAAAAAAAATCAGCTGGGTGTGATAGCACATACTACTTGTAGCCTCCTTCAGCCAGAAGGCTTAGGCAGGAGATCACTCGAGCCCAAGAGTTTAAGGTTACAGTCAGCTATAATTGTATCACCTCACTCCAGCCTGGCTGACAAAGTGAGATCCTGTCTCTTAAAAAAAAAAAAGGCAACTTGCCACCTTACAAGATACAGTGACAGTGCATGGTCAGATCCCTTGACCTGTTCATTTTAAGTGCTGCATTCTCTATTAACTCCTCAGGGCCTTGTGAGCATTGACTCCTTGAGGTAGGTGTCCATAGCACTGTGTAGATAGCCTTATATAGTTAAGACGTTTATTCCATGTAGCCCGGATTTGAATAGGCTTTGTTTTTTTGTTTTTCGAGACAGGGTCTCTGCCCAGGCTAGAGTGCAGTGGCGAGATCACGGCCCATGGCAGCCTTGACCTCCTGGGCTCAAGTGATTTTCCCACCTCAGCCTTCTGAATAGCTGGGATCAGAGGCATGTGGCACCACCCCTGGCTAATTTTTTTTTTTAGCTAAAGATGGTAAAAATGAGACAAAAAATTATTTTTTATATTTTTTTGAGACAAGTTCTTGCTGTGTTGCCCAGGCTGGAGTACAGTGGTGTGATCATGGCTCATTGTGGCTTCATCCTCCTAGGCTCAACCAATCCTCCCATCTTAGCCTCCTGAGTAGCTGGGACTGCAGGTGTGCACCACCGTGACCAGCTAACTTTTTTATTTTTTGTAGAAACAAGGTCTCACTCTGTTGCCCAGGCTGGTCACAAACTCCTCCCTGGTCTCAAGTGATACTTCCCATCTCAGCCTCCCAGAGTGTTGAGATGACAGGCGTGAGCCAACATGCCTAGCCTAATTTTTTTTTTTTTTTTTGTAGAGACAGGTCTCACTGTGTTGTGCAGGCTGGTCTTGAACACCTGGACTCAAATGATCCTCCTACCTCAGCCTCCCAAACTATTGGGATTAAAGACATGAACCATGGCCCCCAGCCTTAGGCTTCCTTTTGATGACCTGTACAATGGAGATAATACCCTCTAAGTTTGTTGTAAGGCTTAAACAACGAAGACTTAGTGCATTGCCTGGCACATAGAGAGCTTTCAGTAATCAACAGCTTAATAGCTAGTGAGGCAAGAGCACATACTGTTGAGTCATACCTCTAAGACTGACTTGGCTTTACCACTTTAATTTGTGTGGGACTGAGCAAAGCACTTAATTTCCCTGTGCCTCAGTTTCTTCACCTTTGAAATAAGGATAATAATAGTGAAGAAGTTAACATATGTAAGGGACTTAAAATAGCATTTGACACATAAAGTGCCATGCAAGTGTTAGTTGTTATGACTGTTGCTATTGATTCCAGTTAGACTATAAATTCTTTAAGTTATCATCTTTTTAAATTGATTTTCCCTTTCCCCCACCTACAAAATCTATCTTAGTGGTGAAACATAAGACTCACCAAATGTTTATTTGGGGGCATATTTAACTGTTAAATCTGAAGTGACAAGGATTTACTGTGTTGTGCTTACTCAGCCATAAGGAACATTCTAAAGCAGAGGTTGACAGACTTTTTGTGAAGAGCCAGATAGCAAATATTTTACTTTACAGACCATGTGATGGTCTCTGGCACAACTTCTCAACTCTTCAGTTCCAGTGGAAAAGCAGTTACAGTGACTACATAAACAAATAAGCGTGGCTGTAGTTTTTTTACTCCTTCCCTAATATCTAGACTGTCAGCTCAAGAACAGGTCAGTCTTTTTCATCTTTGTGCCCCCTGTGACTAGCACATACTAGGTACTGTTGAATGTTTGCTGAGTGAATGAGCACACAGATTCTGAACTACACAGATTTCAAGTATGTGGACATACTTGGAAAACAGATCACTTTTGATTCAGCAGGGTTGTCCTGGCATCAGAAATCAGTTCTCTCTCTCTCTTTTTTTTAACACATAGTCTTGCTCTGTTGCCCAGGTGGAAGTACTGTAGCGCAATCTCTGCTCACTGCAACCTCCGCCTCCCGGGTTTAAGCATTCCTCCTGCCTCAGCCTCCCGAGTAGCTGGGATTACAGGTGTGCACCACCATGCCCTGCTAATTTTTTGTATTTTTTAGTAGAGATGAGGTTTCAACCAGGCTGGTTTGGAACTCCTGGCCTCAAGTGATTTGCCTGCCTTGGCCTCCCAAAGTGCTAGGATTACAGGCGTGAGCTACGGCGCCTGGCCAGCCATCAGTTCTCTTTGTCAGCTTTCTTTAGTTCCCTGTGGGACCCTGATATTGCATATGCTCCTATGGCCTCTGGAGATGTGTGTGAAAATTGTCTTCTTGTGTCTTAGCCTACTTCTTGTGCTCACAAAAAGGGGACAGAGAGGAGGGAGAGGGATTCAACAATCCAGCCTGAGAGCGGTAAAAACCAGTGACTGGTATTGTGTTACTGCCCAAATATTTCCCTTGTGTGATGGAAGCCTTTGGAAGTGAAGCTTAGAATTAAATACAGGGCAACCTGAAGCATGGTGAAGCACTCCAATTGCCTTTGCCTTGCAGAGCAGTCCATCATCAGCGAGTATGAGAAGAGCTTGCAGTTTGATGAAAAGTGTCTCAGTGTCATGCTGGCTGAGTGGGAGGCAAACCCTCTCATCTGTCCTGTATGTACAAAGTAAGAGTTAAAACCTTTTCAGCATTATTCATTCCCATTCCCCACTCTTAAGTGAGTGGCATTTTCCCCCACATTTGTTGCCTGAAAAGGTTTGAAGATCCAGGTCTGGTGGCCATGATGCTCTGGGATCCTAATTCTGCTTCTAGGTACAACCTGAGAATCACAGGCGGTGTGGTCGTGTGTCAGTGTGGCCTGTCCATCCCATCTCATGTGAGTGTTCCACGCAGATTTTGTGACACTTCTTCCCACATATATCACTTCCTTGAAGATCCTCCATTGCTGGCTTAGAGCCCATTGTGTATATTTCTTCCCAAGTTTATGTTCAGTGGTGTCACATTGATAGCTGCAAATCAGCCATGGTGAGAATATATATGGCATGAAAATTGGCAAACAGTACACATCAGGGCTTTTTGGGCCCTGGAGAGCCACCACTGCCTAAGTTTTTTATGGAGACCTCAGCTTGGAATTGGAAATGCCTGTATCTGACGTTCCATAAAAATTTTCTATATATGAAGCCATACACAATTCAGAATTTAAGCTTCAGTAATCTTAAAATACAGAAGGAGCCCTTTTATCTGGCAGGATGTGGACTGAAGTACAAATTTGCCAGTTAATTGAGCAGTTGGTTAAAGAGCCAAATTATAAAAATAAAATGTTTTAGGAAAGTTTCAAACACATAAATTTATTTGACAGTCTTTGAGTGTGGTTCTGCTGGTTGGAGAGCTGAGTCACCTGTTTTTATTTTATTTGAGACAGAGTCTCACTCTGTTGCCCAGGATGGAGTGCAGTGGTGCAGTCTTGGCTTACTGCAACCTCCGCCTCCTGAGTTAAAGCAAATTTCCTGTCTCAGCCTCCTGAGTAGCTGGGATTACAAGTGTGTGCCACCACACCTGGCTAATTTTTGTATTTTTTTTCTTTTTCTTTTTTTCTTTGTTTCTTAATTTTTGTATTTTTAATAGAGATGGAGTTTCACCAATACAAACTACTGACTCAGGTGATCCACCTGCCTCAGCCGCACAAAGTGCTGGGATTACAGGTGTGAGCCACCAAGCCTGGCTGAGTCACATTTTTTACATAACCAACTCCTATAATGTATAGTCCAGAGTTTCCAGTTTTAATTCCATAAAGTGGATCAAGCAGCTGAGTATACAGCTTTGGAATTTTTCCTCCCCATCATTTACCTAATTCTATAGCTCTTTTTCTTTTTTTAAAAGCAGCTCATCTTTTAGAGTGTTTCCTAAACTTCCCACTTATTCTTATAAAAATAAAACTTCATTATCATTTCCCTGTATCATTGATTTACATAATAAGTAATGTTACTGAGTTATAGTAGCAAATTCAAGTAACACAAGCAGATCTGGGAGCAAATACTAATAGTTGTTGGTAAGGATGCACTCAGCTCGGAAGGGCAGAGGCAGAGGGAGGCTGGAAAGTAGTCTGCAATCTCTGAGTGTTCTTCCTGCCATGAGTGGCTGTCAGTGTGTTTTACAGCAGGAGTAGAGGGCATTGGTTAATTTGGAGAGGCAGTTAAATGGAGATTGGTTAAGAGATCTTCTTGGTACAGTCATGGACCCAAGAGTATCCTTAAGCCTCCAAAGAATCAAGCCATCACGGTGAGCCACAGTTAGATTGGTTGGCCTAAGGAGTGAGGATTTTCAATCTGTTGGCTATCAAGTCACTAAGATGAGGTTGAACTTTTTTATTTTGTAGTCTTCTGAGTTGACAGAGCAGAAGCTTCGTGCCTGTTTAGAGGGTAGTATAAATGAGCACAGTGCACATTGTCCCCACACACCTGAATTTTCAGTCACTGGAGGAACAGAAGAAAAGTCCAGTCTTCTCATGAGCTGTCTGGTAAGCCTCTCATGGGACCCAGACTGTGGTAAGAGGGGGTCTGTGGTTGGTTTTATTTCCACCTTGATAGAAGTAAAGGCCTAGAAACAGGTAATTGTTTAATGCAGTTTATTCTCTAAGGAATTTACTTGCATAGAAAAGTGAAGGTAACAAGTCATTTCAACTCAAAGCCCAATCATTCTCTGAAAGGAGAAGGGAAGATGCAGCGTAGGATCATGATAAGAGGATTGGTCTGGAAGTTAAGACGCCTGGCTCCACACCTGCTCGTTAGATCAGCAGTAGTCATTTTTGATTCAGCTGGTAATTTTATAGTCAGAAGACCTAGATAGGCCATACTGGCACTACTTTTGCCGAAGGAAACAGGGCAGAAAGCATAGCAGGGCAGCATTAGGTTTGGCTGTCAGCTGAGTTTTCACAGAGGTCTAAGGGCTAGTCACTAGCCTGAGTGACAGCTGAGGTGTGAGGGACAGGAAGACAAGTGGGTATGGGAACCACCTGTCTTAGAAGTCTTAAGCATGCTATAGGAACCAGTATCTCTTATAATCATGTAACATATATGTATAATGTATGTGTATATATATCCACACAAACATAAAATCAATAGGATATATATTATTATTGTTTTTTCGTCCCTGGGGAATTTTGGGATTAGGATAATGCTGTACTTTAGGAAGTTTACAGCCATGGCCTTCTACTGGATATTTAGAATTCCTTCATGGCCCTCTCATTCCAAATGCAATTAACCTATAGAGGTCATTTTTATTATAAGGAGCATTGCCTAGTAACACAGCCATTTCACCTTTATCAAGTTTCTTCCATAGGTATTTAATTTTACTCATTCCTTAAAAAAACAATTAACTGAGGACTTATTAAAATTCAGAAATACACATCTCTCACAGCGCTCAAGAGAACAGAATAAACAGGCAGTACCCCTGGAGAGCTGTAGAGGGAGGGCTAATGGGAGTTCAGAGGAGGGTAATGTCACTTATGGTGACACCTTCCTGCAGGAGGCATTTAACTTGGCCTTAAAGCATGGAATCAATCTGGACAGACATGGAGATCTGGCGAGTTGTAGGGGTAGAGCTTAAGTGGAAGATCCCTACAAGAACAAGGCAGAGAAGCAGGAAACTGGAGTGTATACAAAGAGCATCTTGTTCTGTTTAGCTGGAGCATTAGGTTCATAAGGGAGAGGGTAGTTCCTGTTAGGAATAGGAAACAGATTCAGAGGAGTGAAGTAATCTGGCCACAATTTTACTACTAAGTGATAGAGCTGGTATTAGACCCCCGATCTTTCTGGTTCCAGTGTCCCTGCTGTTTCCTGCTCCAGGCTCCGGCCTTGGTGGAAGGATGCCGTTTTCCATCAGCTTGTATGGAAAGAAATATAGTACATGAAAGTTCAAATGAAACCCCTTACTACTTCCTGTTAACTACAGGCATGTGTTCTCCTCTGTCCCAGCCAGCCAGCACTGGTTGCAGATGCTCGAATATGCAGGTGCTTTTAGGCTTCTGTGCTGTTTATTCTGTTCTGTCTGAATGCCGTTGACTCCTCCCTCTCCATTTAAGGATTATTTGCACAGATATTTATTGAGCACTACAATATGCCATGTACTTCATTCAGCCTGATTCCTCACATGGAATTGGCCAGTCTTGGCGGCTTGGCTATAATCCCAGCACTTTGAGAGGCCAAGGTGGGCAGATCCCTTGAGGTCAGGAGTTCAAGACCAGCCTGGCCAACATGGTGAAACCCCATCTCTACTAAAAATACAAAAATTAGCTGGGTGTGGCGGTGGGTGCCTGTAATCCCAGCTACTTGGGAGGCTGAGGCAGGAGAATTGCTTGAACCTGGAAGGTGGAGGTTGCAGTGAGCTGAGACCACACCACTGCACTCCAGCCTGGGTGACAGAGTGAGACTGTGTCTCAAAAACAAAACCGATGGCCAGGTGCGGTGGCTCATGCCTGTAATCCCCATGTTTTGAGAGGCCGAGGTGGGTGGATCATCTGAGGTCAGGAGTTTGAGACCAGCCTGGCCAACACTACAAAAAATTAGCCAGGCATGGTGGCATGCACCTGTAATCCCAGCTACGTGGGAGGCTGAGGCAGGAGAATCACTTGAACCCGGAAAGCACTGAGTGGATATCTCACCATTGTACTCCAGTCTGGGCAGCAAGAGCGACACCCTATTTTTTTTTTTTTTTTTTTTTTAAATGGCCAGTTCAGGAGTCCATTCCTTTGGAGTCTGTTACCATTTTCAGTAAACCTAACGAGGGCTGGCAGAGGGGAATTGGCTGGTCTCTCTTTGGGCTTCCACTGTACCTCATGCTGTGTCACCTATAAGTGTTGTAGTTACTGCTCATCTTTGTCCTTGAGGGTAAGGTCCGTATCTTTATTTTTACTCCCTGTGCTTGGCATATATTAATAAATAGGTGCTTAACATGCTTGTACAAATGAGTTAAGAGGGAGGAGAGCTGAAGAGGCACAAGTCAGGTGGCTTTGGCTTCTGCCTTCTTGGTAAGGTGAACAAGTGAGTCATCCACACAGATTATAATGGTGTCTGGAGCTCTTTAAATATGAAAGTCCAAATGCTGGGGGGTATGAGAAGGGCAATTAGAGTAAGCGGAAGACTGCCTAGTTGCTTAGTGTACAGCTTCAACTCAGCATATACCAGTTATCTACTCACCTAACCGTTAGTGCTGTGGCTCAGAGCAGCAGTGAAGCCAAGTGGGTAGTGAGGTTTGGGAGGTGAGTGCTATGCAGCAGTCCTGGAGATCGTAGTTGGCAGTGTGGGCTCTGGGGTGGGAAGGGAGACCATTGTTGGGTAAGTCGGGGGAGGTGAGGGTCACAGCAAACACAAGAAGCACAGCCAGGTGCTGTGGCTCATGCCTGTAATCCCAGCACTTAGGAAGGCTGAGGTGGGTGGATCACTTGAGGCTAGGGATTCAAGACCCATCTGGGCAACATGATGAAACCCCATCTCTATTAAAAATACAAAAATTAGCCAGGCATGGTGGCTCACACCTGTACTCCCAGCTACTCATGAGGGTGAAGTGGGAGGATGGCTTGAGCTCAGGAGGCAGAGGTTGCAGTGAACGGAGATGATGGTATTGCGCTCCAGCCTGGGCGACAGGGAAATAAATTATGCCTAAAAAATAAAAAAACAAGAAACAGGGGGGTAAAAGACAAAATTGTATTCTGTAGGTTCCGAGTTCAACGTTTGGAACGCTCTAGTTCCAGTGTGCCACTCAACCTTTGGTTTTCACTTAAGGGGGAATCAAGGACCATTGGGTTAGAATTCAGTGAGGTCAAGGTGTAGCGTAGATCAGCATAGATGCTGAGGATGTGTTGGAAGATAGATGGGGAGGGTTGCAGACGATGGTGATATAAGGACTAGGAATATTTCAGATGTGAAGGTGCTCAGGTGGTGGTCATGGGGATGGAATATGCTAAACCACCTATTAGCAGGGCTATAGTGCCTTTTAGAGAAAGCCAGACATATTACCTGTGGAAGTGGTAAGAAACAAGGGTAACTGAGCCGGGCGTGGTGGCTCATGCCTGTAATCCCAGCACCTTGGGAGGCTGAGGCGGGTGGATCATGAGGTCAAGAGATTGAGACCATCCTAGTCAACGTGCTGAAACCCCGTCTCTACTAAAAATACAAAAAATTAGCTGGGCATGGTGGCGCATGCCTGTAATCCCAGCTACTCAGGAGGCTGAGGCAGGAGAATTGCCTGAACCCAGGAGGCGGAGGTTGTGGTGAGCTGAGATCGTGCCATTGCACTCCAGCCTGGGTAACAAGTGCGAAACTGTCTCAAGAAAAAAAGGGTAACCTATTTATGCCTAGTGTTCCATTATTGGAACACTAAACCTGTGGGAGTTATTGATGCCCTACTGCTCAAGGTCATCCCCAAGTTCTATTTTTCACACAAAAAATTTGCATAAATAGATTAAGGACAAACTGGATTCCTCAGCATATTGGTAGGCTGAGCCATCAGGGAACTGGGAGCCAGTTTTACACTCAGGTGCTTACAAATCAAGGGGAAGACAGTTTTCTGCCTATACTGATCATGCATGGTTTGTACCTCCCCTATGATACATACCTGCATCAATCTTGTGTAGATTTGGAGTCTCATCTTCCTGCTGGGCTTTAAAGGCCCCAGGCTATCAAGAGTTTGAATACAGTCTTTCTGGTCACTGGCTTCCTGAGGGTAAGGGTGTTTGATTAGTTCATCTACAGGATTTAATCTTAGCTTGAAGACTATATTGATGCTGAAGGTTTCCAAGACAGTTGTTTGAAGGCTGCAGGGCAGAGGCCCAGCAAAGCAAGAGGGGCAGTCATCAGTGACCTCCTTGACAAATTACACTAGTGATAACTGTCATGACTAGAATACAATTTAAGCTAATTATTTTCCTGTTTAAACCTAGGCTTGTGATACTTGGGCTGTAATCCTCTAGAGCCAGCTTGGAGTCACATCATTCTATCCAGTTGAAGACAACTCATTCCCTCTGAGGAGCCTTGTACATATAAGTCTTTTATTTCTAACTTATTTTATATTGAAATTTTTCAACGATACTGAATGAAAAAAAAAGAAAACCTTTCCCAGTATCTGTTTTTGTTTTTTTGTGACGCAGGTTTAAGGGGGAGGAATAGAAAAGACAAACTGCCTTGGAGGAGATAAACCAATTTTATTGTCTATTATGTTATACAAAAATCTACAAATAATAGATTTGTACAGAAAAAAATGGTAATAAATGAGAGCGTAAAACATATAATTTAAATTTGATGTTTTTTTCCCATGATATTAGGATAATAATTTCAAAGCACGTGTCTAGCTTCTGACTTGGATTTGTTTAATGGCCAAAGCCTGCCATAAAACTATGGCTTTCAGTGTCTGTCTGCTCTACTTGCTCTTGACAAAACTTTTGAGGTCTTCAAGAAAAGTAATGTACTCCTGGTGCTCCAGGGCTGTGCTGAGCTCCACCAACTCATCTGCAAAAGTGTTGTCCACCCCTCGGTCCGCAAGGAAATCCATTAGGTGGTCATACAAGGCCTGCAAAGAACAACATTTACTAGTTAAAAAAAAAATCTCTAATTTCCATTAAAATTCTTCTTTCTCTCCTTGAACTAGGACCCTCCCTTGCAAGGTCCGAAAGATTCCCCCATCTTATCAAGCACTCACCCAGTCCAGGGAATCTGTGTTGAGTGTGTAATTAGTATCCTTCCATTCAGAGTTGCCAGTGGACTGAAAGCTAACTTCCCTGATAGAGAAGATGTCACTCTCAGCCTCATCCTCTTGTCCAACCTGAGAAGAAACAGTATCTGGGGAAACTGAAGAGTTTTCCAGGACAAGCCAGACTCATACAAAGAAAGGGGGTCACTGACAGCATATCACTCATTAGGTTTTAATACTCTTCCCTCACTTCATACCTCTCCCTCCCCTGGCTTTGCTGGTCTAAGCTAGAAAATCTTTAAATGTCTACTAAAAGGGACAGGAAGTTCCCAAGAGACACGCTGTGTTCCCCAGGGGTACCAAGGGGCTAGCACTCCATCCTGCTTACCTCATCTTCTGGATAATGACAGTCCAGCACAAGGGCCTTCTTGCCATCATTCTTTATAACTTCAACCACGAAATTGGGAGTTGATGTCAATTCAGGCTGGGAAAAGAAACAAGAAGTCAGTACATGCCATTGCTGGAAGGAGATGGATGCCTGGATCAGGGATCTCAGACAGTTCAGAGTGTCTGATGGCCACCACTGCTAGGATACAATGTAGCCATTTTAATAGTCTTATGCCATACTGTTCCCAAATGGAGAGCTTTATCTCTTCACAGCTCAGGCCTATAATCCCAACACTTTGGGAGGCTGAGGAGGGTGGTACACCTGAGGTCGGTAGTTCAAGACCAGTCTGGCCAACATGGTAAAACCCTATCTCTACTAAAAATACAAAAATTAGCCAGGTGTGGTGGTAAGCGCCTGTAATCTCAGCTACTCAGGAGGCTGAGGCAGGAGAATCGGTGGAAACTGGGAGGCGGAGGTTGCAGTGAGCCATGATCTTGCCATTACACTCCAGCCCAGGCTGACGACAGCGAGACTGTCTCCAAAAGAAAAAATAAATAAAAGGATACCAGCCTCAGCCATGTGCCAATTAACTGAGTTTCTATCAGTCCCTTAACATTCCAAGCCTTTTTCTCCACCCATATACTGCAGAAAGTTTCAAGATCTCTTTCCAGCTTGACTGTTCCAAGAGTCTTCATAAGGGACCAGGGTCAAAGGCTGGGGAACCTGGTTAAATGGCCATCCTTATGGCTGAATGACAGCACCAACTTTTACTGATGGTGAGCTCTGGGAGCAGACTAGGTCCAATGTCAGGGAAATGATAGTTGGGGTGGCTGGGAAAGAAGCATACCAGAGAGCTATGCTGACCATACCAGGTCATGAAACAACACTGTACTGATGGCTGCTTTGGCAGAAGCTCTAGGGACTCTGGCTCTCATACTGGCTGGCTACTAGGCCGGGCACAGCACTTCTTAAAATGTTGGAAGAGGCTGGGCATTGGTGGCTCACGTCTGTAATCCCAGCACTTTGGGAGGCGCAGGTGGGCGGATCACTTGAGGTTAGGAGTTCAAGGCCAGTCTGGCAAACATGGTGAAACCCCATCTGTACTAAAAATACAAATATTAGCTGGTTGTGGTGGTGCATGCCTGTAATCCCAGGTACTCGGGAGGCTGAGGCTGGGGAATCACTTGAACCTGAGAGGCGAAAGTTGCAGTGAGCAGAGATTGCACCACTGCACTCTAGGCTGGGCAATGGAGTGAGACCGTCTCAAAAAAAAAAGTCTCCCTATCATGGGAAAGGTTGAGACTGTTTCATATCCTTTCCATTAAGAGAACACTGTCCTCACTTCATCTACTTGACTGTAAGCAACATATTCGGTCCCTGGGAAAGAAAAGGGAGCCACAGTGCTGCTAAAGCTGGTCAGAAACCACTGATTCCTCCTGCCTCAGTCTCCTGCATAGCTGGAACCACAGTCATGTGCCACCATGCCCAGTTAATTTTTTTTTTTAAATGTTCGTAGAAGCAGGGTCTTGCCATGTTCCTCAGGCTGGTCTCAAACTCCTGGCCTCAAGGGATCTTTCCAGCTTGGCCTCCCAAAGGGCTGGGATTATAGGTGGGAGCCATGGGCCTAGCCTTAGAGGATTTTTTTTTTTAATGAACAAAGAAAAATGCTCCTCCTCTCAGCCCCAGTGACAGCCTGTCAGAACTTAGGTAAAAGCTGATTACAGTGTTAAGCTTACCTCCTGTTCTTCAACCTTCTGCCCTTTCGAGGGTTCCTCCTCACCATCAAATGTTGGTGGGATGCTGTTGTTAATATTGAAAGTGACAGTGATTCTAAAAGGGCAAGAGACAACAGACAAGGCGGAGTTTTAACTGAGTAGGTTAACACATATACATGGAGGTCTGCTACAGTTAAAAAGGCCTATTGAAACAATGTCTCTATCCTGGCTGGCTGAGTTTCATGCAGAACTTCAAACAAGGTTGGCTGCCTACCTCCAATCCCCAGTGACTCAGCAGGTCTGAAGTGTGCCTACCATGTGACAGCTGCTGGAAGCCAAAGCTGGCCTCAGTTTATCTCAGCCAAACAAATCATGCATGAGTTACTCCCAACAGGCCAGTATCCCAGGGCTCACTACCGTGTGTTGACTGGGCATCTCATGTCCATAGTTGGCAGACCCTGCTCACCCTGGTCTTTCCAGGGAATGCTTGGTAAAAGTAGGGACCTGAGAAGCTGGTGAGATGGACCAGAAGCCCCTTTAAGAGCCTTCCCCATCAGAAAATCTGCCCTGCAAGGAAAGGAAGGAGCAATGGAGGGTGAGAGCATCCTGGCCCCAGGAGTGGGGATGCCTCACAAAGAACAAAGGCTGTAGTAAAGTCATTCTTCAGAGTACTTATGGGAAGTTTTATCATCACAAAGCAGGCCCGAAAAACCAACTAATGACAATTTTAAGGTGCAAGAATCCACACATGACAAATCATATTCCAAAGTTTGAGTCAAAATTCCTGAGGTTCAGAACATGAGGTTTAGAACTAGACCTGCTGGACTACGCAACTTGGGCAGGTACTATTCAAGAATACATTAAGTGCTGCCCCCTCGACTTGTGCTAACTAGCTGCTGTGCCATGAAGTCACTTTTCCATAATAACAGTGGCAGTCTGAAGTTGACAGAAATCTATTTAATTCTAACTGTGCTGACCAAGCTGAGCTCCTGCAATGATGTTCGTCACTGTTATTTTTAATGGCCCTCAAATAGCTGTGAAAAGCTTGTGCAAATGGTTTTTAAATGATGACACAACTGACCTGTGTATGGGAAAAAACACGCTATGCAATAGGCAAAGCGAATCAGGACCTTACTTTACACCATACTCAAAATGGATCGGAGACCTAAACTAAGAGCTAAAACTAGAAAACGCTTTGAAAAAAATAAGGCATCAATCTTCCCAACCTTGGATTAGGCAGTGGTTTCTTGGATGTGACACTAAAAAAGCACAAGTTGCACTTGGTGAATCAAAAGCAAAGTAAAAAGTAAAAAAGCGCAAGTGACCCAAAAAAAAAAAACAGGTTAAAATGAACTTCATCAAAATAAATAACTTTTGTGTCAGAGGACATTACCAAGAATGAAAAGAAAACCCACAAAATGGGAAGTAATACATGCAAATCATTAATGTGATAAGAGAATTATACCCAGAATAAACTAAAGAACTCTTAAAACCCAACAATTAAAAAGGTAAATAGGCTGGGCAGCGTGGCTCACACCTGTAATTGGAGCACTCTGGGAGACCTAGGCAGGTAGATCATGAGGTCAGGAGTTCAAGACCAGCCTGGCCAACACTACAACACAGAAATTAGCCAGGCATGCGCCTATAATCCCAGCTACTCAGGAGGCGGAGGCAGGAGAATTGCTTGAACCCAGGAGGCAGAGGTTGCAGTGAGCCGAGATCCTGCCACTGCACTCCAGCCTGTATGACAGAGCAAGACTCCATGGGGTAGGGAGAAAGCTGCATATTGTAGGACTCTGTTTATATGAAATGACCAAAAGAGGCAATCTATAGAGAAAGTAGATTAGTGATTGCCTGCAGTGGCTAGATGGAGGAATCAGGAGTGACTGCTAATGGTATTCTTTGGAGATGACAATAATGTTCTAGAATTAGTTAGTGGTATCTGATGCATAATTTTATGAGGACTAAGAAACAATTTAATAAGCTTCAATAAATGGGTAAATTTTATGGTATATAAATTAAATCTCATTAAAGCTGTCACTTAAAAAAATAATTAAAGGCTGGGTGAGGTGGCTCACACCTGTAATCCCAGCACTTTGGGAGGCCAAGGTGGGCGGATCATGAGGTCAGGAGATCAAGACCATTCTGACCAACGTGGCAAAACCCTGTCTCTACTAAAAATACAAAACTAGCTGGGTGTGGTGGCGCATGCCTGTAATCCCAACTAACTCAGGAGGCTGAGGCAGGAGAATCGCTTGAACCTGGGAGGCAGAGGGTGCATTGAGCTGAGATCATGCCATTGCACTCCAGCCTGGGCAACAGGAACCAAACTCCTCTCAAAAAAAAAAAGTTATATATACATCATAAGGTCTATTATAAAATAATTCAATTTTAAAAACCTGGAAGATACTAAGTGTTTATCTGTGTAATAAGATTATGGATGACTATAATGCAAAAAAATTGTAAACACTTCAACAGTTAGCTTAGAAGGTGGGAGAGCTGCCTTAGGTCACAAACTCCCAACCTCTGATGGCAGCCCTGACTACAGTGTAACCCCATTCTGTTACACAGAAGTTACATGTTGCATTTTCACCCACTCTGGACATTAAGAGACCAGGGTCCTACTTTACTGGCGCTGTAAACCAGAGATCAATCTGATTCTGCCAGTACTTTTTTGTGTTCATTTTTGTCTCCTTAGTAATCAGCCCACAGCAAATTTGTGTTCAGTGAATCAACTATCTGGAACTTATAAATTTGTCCAAATGAATCCTTCACTCGCTTGAAAACCATTTATCAAAGAATCCACACCTGAACTCAAGGCTCTTCTGGGGATGATCCACGACGGGTCTTGCAGGGTAATGGAGTTGGTGCCCTGGAATCCCCAGACCAGTACTTACGTTTCCCCAGCAACTTTCTGCACTAATTTAGCTTCTGTCCCATTCAGTTCCAGCTCCCAACCTCCAGACATCTTAGGGAGGGTTTTATGCTTCTGGATTTTTCTTTCCTCCTTAATTTCATCACTCAGGAAATCAACAAAAGCTTTGTCTCCTAGAAATCCAGATACATTAAAAGGGAAGCCAGTTAGTCTAAAACATAAAATTATTACCCAAGTTATTGTAGCCAGAAATCTGGCCTGTTTCTAATCTCTGCTATTATGCTTACTCTGGAAGCCTCAGTTTCCTTATCTGTAAAAATAACACAATAGTATTGCGAAGCTAAGGACGTCCAACAGCGAACGCATTGCCACCTTCTGTTGTAAAGCAGAACTTCCAGGCATCCTCTTCCACTGCCAAACGATTTAACTATGCTATTTTCAATCACGACCTTGGGCTTTCCCAAAGGTCCACTTTTGAGAGACTAAAGCTAAGGATAGAGGTACCCTCTAGTATTTATCTACCCCGTTCCAACAGAAAATGAAACTTGTGGAAAGGCGAGGTGGGGAAATATGATCACACGTGGGTTTAACCCGCTGGTTGCCAATCAATGGAATAATGTCCCAGATCTCGGAGGTCGGTTGCAGGCGCCACTCCTGGTCTACGTTTTTCTTTCGTAGACCGCAAACCCCAACAACAGCCCTGGCCCACGAGCATGAACCTCACCTTCGGTGTGCAGCGCGCCGCAGCCACAGCCGCAGGCGCAGGGCCCGCGAGGCCGCAGGAGGCCCGGCCGCTGCTCGGAACCTGCGCGCACGCTGAGCAGCCCGAAGGGCCGGGCGCAGAGCTGGGGCGCCGGCTGCAGGAGCTGCCGGAATGGCGAAGCAGGCGAGGCGGGAGCCGCGGCGCGGAGGCCGGCAACGGAGGAGCCCAGTACACGGGGCACGCAGCGTAGCAGAGGCAGCATCGCGGAGAGGACTAGGAACACGTGCAGACGCAAAGGACTACCCAACTCTAGGCTCCCCGCGACGTAGCCCGCTGCCGGAAGCCCCGCCCCGTCAGGAAGCGCTTCCCGCGCCGGCGCTCTGAAGACCTAAGGCCAGTGGGAGGAATCGCGCCCTCTGCTGGAGACCTCCGGTATAGCCCGGGAAGCCTCGAATTTTTTCCGCGAGCTTTCTTGCTGCGTTAGCCTGAGGCCGCTGTCCGAAGCTGTTTAATTCCCTTCGGTGGCTGCTTAGACATTTTCCATCTACTGGTCTCAAGCCACACCGTTTTTGGGCTGCGTGGAATGCACTCTTGTCTCCCCTCAGCTCTTACCAGACCCTTACACGGTCACTTTCCTCTAGGAGGCTGTGGTGTTTCTGTGTGTGTGTGTACAGGTTTTCATCCACAGTTCCTGGCTGTGGTGTTACAGTGTGTGTGTGTGTGTGTGTGTGTAGGTTTTCATCCACAGTTTCTGGGAGGCTGTGGTGTCACGGTGTGTGTATAGGTTTTCATCCAGTGTGTGTGTGTGTGTGTGTGTGTGTGTAGGTTTTCATCCACAGTTCCTGGGAGGCTGTGGTGTCACGGTGTGTGTATAGGTTTTCATCCAGTGTGTGTGTGTGTGTGTGTATAGGTTTTCATCCACTGTGTGTGTGTGTGTGTGTGTGTATAGGTTTTCATCCACAGTTCCTGGCTCTTAACTCTCACAGCCCTTGTTACAGTGTTCTGTGATAATGTTGGGTGTGTTAGGCCTCAGAGAATAGAATCTCTCTCCCCTCCTCCTCCCCTTTCACAGGCCCCATAGCGGGACTCTCATCTCCCCCCACATTTCTGATTGTGGGTCTTAAGTCCCTCCCCAGAGAAGGTCCCACCCTATACCTTGGGGAAAGAGATGCTGAAGTTTGGAAGCTTCCATAAAAACCCAAGAGGACAGGGTTTGGAGAGCCTCTGAGAGCTAAACACTTGGAGGTTCCTGGAGGGCTGTAGCCCTGGGAGGGGAGCTCATCTCCTTATCCGCATCCTCGGTCATATCCTTTACATTAAACCAGTAAATGTGTTTCCCTGAGTTCTGTGAGAGGCTCAAGTAAATTCATATAACCCAAAGAGGGGGTTCAGATTTAGATTAAGAACCAAGAATCCCACCTTCTCAGGATACACAGGACATATAAGCTACCAAGAAGGTATGGCTTACTAACTCATGATAAGACTAACACTTAATATCTTCTGAACACTCCTGAGTCACAGGACACCTTTATAAGAAAAGAAAAGCTATTTTCTAAACAATTTTCAATGAATAACGGAAAGGAGATCCAGAAAACGAGCCACACACATCATGTAAGATTAGTTTTTAATGGATTTGATCATCGGGTGCAAACTTGAGCATTATGTACAAGAGCTTTCTGTAGTTATTTCTACACAAACAAAAGCCTGAACCTACTTGATTTTTTTCCTCCTCCCTCTAGTTACCAAGGAATGCTATCTTAGATGCATGGCCTATTATCACACTGGTCTTTAAAAAAAAAAAAAAAATGCATGGCCACAGTTCCAGGCAGTTCCTGGTAGCTGGATTTAGGATTTATATATCACAGTACAGTACATAATCAGTTTTACCCACAGTGCAAAACTTGCTTCCATTCAGGCATCTCTTTGCAACTGGCAGCAATGTAGCATTAGGGTTTTTATCCAGGACATGGTGTTTGCAGTCCTGCCCCTTGTAGTAAAATATGTGTTACTCTGGGTGCTGCACACTCCATGATTACTAGAAGGCAAACACCTGAGGCATGCAATCTGGGTGGAGTGCATCTATTTACAAGAAGCAAAGAGGTATCACATCATCAGAGATTTTACCAATGGAAAAAGAGTAGCTGAGGATTATATTGCAGTGTTATTGTGAAACGTTTAACTTTCCTAAGTTTAAAGTGTACTATCCCCTGCAGCTCAATATAAACAACGATTTATTTCTTTGTAGGAATATGTGGAGTCAGATGGGTTTTCCAATCTGATTTAATCCCTGAGCAGCTATGTTAAAAGTTCACTTTTTAAAAAAAGTATTTAAAAACTAAATACTGTATTAAAACTCTACCACAATGTTACAGTGATAAACATATTTCTGTACAGAAACATTAAAGCTACTTAGAAGCTGTTTATATCCTTTACCTCTCAGGAAAAAAAAATATACATTTCTGGAAGCTGTTCAGATACTTAAGCTGGACATAAATTACCCCAAGTTGTTTTTTTTTTTTTGAGACGCAGTATGGCACTGTGGGTCAAGCTGGAGTGCAGTGGAGTGATCTTGGCTCACTGAACACTCTGCCTCCCAAGTTCAAGCAATTCTTGTACCTCAGCCTCCCTGGTAGCTGGGATTACAGGTGTTTACCACCATGCCCAGCTAAGTTTTGTATTTTTAGTAGAGACAGTGTTTTGCCATGTTGGCCAGGCTGGTCTCAAACTTCTCAAGCAATCCACCCACCTCAGCCTCCCATCCCAGTGCTGGGATTACAGGCATGAGGTTATCTGCCAATATTGGCCTCCCAAAGTTCTGGGATTACAGGTGTGAGCCACTGCGCCTGACCACCCCTAATTATTTTTACCAGTGCTATGAATGATTTATTAAAAATATAATACTTTTTCTTACCAAGTCAGACTAAACATTCTAGACCCCTACTGAAAAAAAAAAAAAAAAAAAAACCTTTGTGGAAAACTTTTCAGAAAGTCAGCAATGATAACAAGTCAGTAAGTGGAAGAACTCGTTCAAAGTTTAAGAATTCAGTAAGATAAGGTATACAGGAGCTGTCAGATCTTATTTCACCCACATATAACCATTTCTGGCAGACAGTCCTAAACAAGTCAAGCTGAGAGCTTGCCTGCACAGGACCATGGCTAGCGTTGGAAATAAAGACTGAGCTGGACTGGACACACACAACCCTGGACAGATGAGACCCTGGAATGGGGGTGCTCCGCCAGGCCACAGCTTCCAGAGATGGACCGTCCATGAGCTCTGAAGAGCCTCATGGGCAGTTTGGCCCATTTATAAACTATGATTCGTTCAGGAAGAAACGACAAAACACTGTACAGATGTATTTGGACCAAGTAAGCACAATAAAAGAGCTAAATCTCGGCTTCTTCTAGTGCAAAACATCATCTGGGGAAAGACGATTTGCTTTTGAATATCAAATAGCTAAGGGGAACCGTCAGTGCCTTTTCTCTGCTCAGAATATCATAACAGGAAGAGACTGTGGAGATCCTAATTCCTTCTGACAATGAGGGTTAGAGAGAGGTGCCTAGCAGTTAGAAAGCAGCAAAGCCAGATTGTCCCCAAGTCCCTATGAAGAAGGAAAAAATATCACAGAAAATTACTAAGATGCAAGAATAAGTGTTCCAGCACTAGCTCTTTTAGAATTTGTCCGGCAGGTCTTCAAGTCTTCCCTGAACTGCCCCCCGACCCCTCAAAAAAGATAAAGAATATACGACCAGATGTGGTGTGGTGTCTGGCATAAGCCAATGCTCTCTGGGTTCTCACTATGTACCCTTCTCCCCTGACCCACCCCCACCATCTCTGATGAGGGGCCCTGACCGAAAAGAAACAGCCGAAATGGTCCACGGAGTCACTCATGCTCACATGTTCACTGGTGCCTAGAGAAAAACATGGCAACTATGTATGTGGGAGTCACCTACACACGCCAAATACTGAAAGGTCAGTTTCCCATGTCTACACATGACATGATTCAGAAGGTGCAAATCAACCTTCATCCAGGAAGCTTACATGACTCCTGAAAGCAGCTACAGGGACACGCACCGAGGACCAGGAGGATCTTTTACTGGCCTCTGCTTGGAGAAAGACACAGAGCGGTCCACCCACTGAGACATAACTATTCATTAGGGACTGCTATCCCAGGAGGTAAGAGATAATAGCACATCCCTCTGGAAACTTCTATAGAAGTCAGTTGTTGTTCTCCTCCTTTAAAACTGCGTACAGACAGATATTAAACAAGAACCAAGGACAACATCTAAGCTCTGCAACCTCCTGTGGCCCTTCCAGAAAATCCTCCTCAGTCACGAGAACCTGGGAGGTTGCTGTAGTTAATTCGCATCACATGGAAAGCAGGAACATTAAGCATAATGGCTACCAACTCATTGCATGTGTGTCGCGCTCCAGGCACAGTTCTGGGTACTTTCCATTCATTTTCTCTGAACTTTATGAACCCAGTTTTGTAAGTATTATTAATATGATTACTCCCATTTGGCAGATGAGAAAACTGAGGCTGAGGTGTTAATTAAGTCAAAGTCACCCAGTAAGAACCAAAAGCATAATTTTGACGTTTCCAGGTACAAATGATATGTTCATGTCTACATGGTTCAGTCCTTGTCATTGAAGCAAAGATGCTTTCAAGCTCCTGGAAGTCAGGCATGGTCAGCTGATTCCAAGACTTCTCTAAGTGCCAACCTGGAAGCCTGCTGTGAGGACAACTGTAGTCCAGACTCCCAGAGACCAGCAATTCTGGTGGCATCCTGGGGTGGCTCAGTTTCTGGCGGTTCTCAGCTTCCTCCTAAAGTACTCAGGGGCAGCCTCGTACAGCCACTCTGCATCCACGACGCAGAGGTCCCGCATGTAGCACTTGTTGGTATAGAGCAGCTCAGTGTACACGACACAGGCTGGCTTGCAGTGGAAGAGGACAGATGACGGGTGGATGGCCACTGGCTGGTGGGTGTCCGTGGTGGCATAGGTACCATCTGGCTGAAGCTCGGCAGTGTTCATGAAGAGGCTGTGAGCCAGGCAGTGGCGGACACTCTCCATGTCTCCTCGGGATGACATGATAGGCATTGACATCTGTTTCAGAAGAAAGTGAGGAATGGAGCAGACCCCAAATGTAAACCCTGTTCAGGATTACACAGTGTGTTGGGGCAACTGGAACAACTGGGGCAAATGCAGCCCACACTGCGAGCATAACAAAGTGGATTCTGATATTCAGGGTGGTTACCAAGGATCAGCAAGGTCAGGGGAAGAAGGCCCAGCTAGAGGAGGCTGGACCACAAACAGTGGGAGGTAGGGCTGGGAGGGAAATGCTCATATCAGCCACCAGACCACAGGCAA